AATTTGTTAATACAGATGGCGTGAACAAAACAGCATTAGACAGTCCCTTAGACGCCGAATAATCTCACTGAACAGGAAATTTTCACTGTTTCCTCTAACATCATATCCACCTTCCAAAGATAGTAAGCTTCTCTCCTGCAAAACAAGGAGACCCCTGGAAAAAAAAGAGGCACCCTGAATCCTTTGGCTTTTGTTTCCTGTCTGTATTTTTCTAGTCTGAGCATGCAAGCAGGGGTAAATGAAAAGACTCATTCCCAGTAGATTCAGAGGGCATATTTTGTGTTTTCTACTGCCAAAACACACCAAAGAATTAGGTGCTAGAATGGAAAATGAGTTTTCTCCATTTCTCAATTACTTTCACAGGCCTTCATATTATCTTTAACTTTCCTCTTATAAAACACACACACACACACACGCACACAGACACACACACACACACACAGCCTAAGAAATGACTAGGTTCTTTATTTATAACTTATAATAATCCTCATTTCTTGGTTTTCACAGGAAGAGATGACTACACTAAATGCTTGGAGCTCACTGCTGACGGTACAGGAAAGAACTAGAAACTGTGGGCAGGCAGAGTCCAGCAAGGACAAAATTAGCCCACAGCATCTGATTACCAGGAAGTTATACAGGACCAGAATCAAGATATCATAAGCTGTCATCAGGGAATAAATCAAGTAATAACTCTTTCTAGAGGGACACAAGATAGGAAATATGTCCTCTGCTCACAAACGTGGGATGGCAACCCAGTAGGTTTTATATTTCCATAATCTCCAACCCCTAGTTGCCAATACAAACATCTGAGTAATTACCAGGAAAGACTGCAACCTAGTCTACCCTCCCAGCCTTGTAAGACACAGATGTCTAGATTTGAGGGAAGAAAAAGTTTTTTGAAAAATGGGACGTTGTCACACTGGATTGCAGAACAAAATTCTGTCTCCTGGTGGACGCATTGATAACCCAGGGAGTACAGAGCTTCTTTGGACTTCAGGCTTCCTCTTTTCCCCATTTCTATGCAAATGACAACAACTTCTGGCTAACTCTCCTCACCTGCCTCCAGCTCTCAATCAGCCACTAGTTGGGACTTACAGGTACCTATCTATATTTGGAACTTATAGGTACCTATCTATATTTTGTTATTAAAAATGTTTACTTTATACAATGTGATGGCAAAGGGGCAAGGAGAAAATCAAATTGACCCATGCTAAGCACACAGCTGAATTTTATCGTAAGACAATTTATTATTCAGAGGATTTTAGCATCTGGAAGCCTAAAGAGAGAAACTCTCTCCAATCAAAATTCTCCAATCAAAAGCCATCTTCCACATGCATAAAATTTCAAACAGGCTGCTGATCACAATACTTTTTACTGTTACATATCTATCAATGTTGTCAAAAGCATTTATTCTCAAATACTAAGATCATAATTAAATAAAACTGAAATTTAACAATCTGAAAGTACATGTTAATGATTAGAAAAGTTCAGATTTTAATATTCTATGTCATTTTTATATTATTTATATTTAAATGTAGACATATTTATTTATAAAATTTAATCATAACTAACACCTAAGTGCTCTTGAATATAATAAATCTTAAAGATTTTACTGCATATGGGAAAAATAAAGTCCTTTGCTTCCATGATATGGAATTTAACATTTGGGTAGTAGGTCTGTGCAGTATAAGCAGAAGTGTAAGTATAAGCCAAATGCATTTACAAAATCAGAATTGGTTTTATGATAACAAATGGTATTACTTGCTTCTTAATCTACACAAGAGTAAATAGGGAATTTATAAAATTAGTGAGTTTGATAACAATTACAACTGAAATGATCAAAGAGGATTTGGGTTCTCCCTCAATTCTGCCATGAGCTGTCAGAGTGATCTTGACTAGTGCAGTGAACAAACACACTTGGGGTATCAAGGAAGGCTTTGTAAGACAGTGTGCAGAGATAAACAGGATTTGGATCTAGTCCACGAGATGTTTATGAGCTGATGAGAAATCTAAGTCCTAAAGCATAGCTAACACTGAACAGAATGAGTCTACTACTTCAAGAGAAGTACAAATCGAAAACAGTGAGAAGTTTGGCAAGGCAAAGGCTACTTCCTACCTGAGAAGAGAGACTGAAAGAAGGAGTTAAGGAAAAGTCACATCAGAGGCAAGCCTTAAAGAATGGATAAGTTTCTAACAAGAAACTCTAAAGGTGGAGAGTCCTTCAGAACCAGTGGAAGAAAAACTTTAGAATATGAAGTTGCATTCAAAACTCTGGGTCAAATTCAGCCGCAGGTGTCTTTAGCCTGGAAAAGATCACCTAGTCCCCAGCACTCCATTTTGCACTCTTACCCACTAGCCTTCTTCATTTACATTATCAGGCTGGATCTGCAGATACTTTTGTTTGCGACACTTGTGATAGCCATAGCTGTCAAGACATCTTACTTTCAAAAGAACAGAGAAAGCCAGAGGAAGCAGAATCAGAAAGCATTAGGATTACAGTTGTGCCCTGTGAAATAGTCCCTCATGTCACTGTTGTGGAAAGAAAGATGGATGGGCCCTAAGGAAAGTACAGGGTCAGGGAGCCAAGTAATCGGGGTGAGACAACCAGGGCCTGTGCCAGAGCTACAGAATGGACACAAGAGAAGGATCTGAACTATTCAGAAACAGTTCAGAGAAAAACTCTATAGTTAATTGGATGGTCTGGTGAGGGGTAAGCCACTGTTCATTTAAACATCATTCATTTTAACTCCAAGGACTGAGCAAATATTGAACGTCATTAAGATAGAAAAGGAAAAAGAAGAGACGTACTGAGTATGGAGGTTAGTGAGTAGGAAAGTCTTGTAGGACACTGAAGTGACTCTCTCTGGATTTGCAACACCTTGGCCTTTGCCCACCCTCTGCCACACAGAGGAAGCATTTATTAGTGGCTGTAGACACTTGTCTGACATAACTTGGAGAAGGGGAAGCATCTGGAAATATGCTAAATATCGTAAAATGTGCAGAACAGTCTCTAGAAGGAAGGCTGGCCATGCATGACCACAGGGCAGAGGTTGAAAAATTCTGAAAATAGTAGGAACTCCTAAACCTGGACTTTTAGAAAATAGGAAAAAGACAAGAACTTTTAATTACTAAAATATCTGTGAAAGGAATGAAGGAAACTTAACTACAATACAAGTGTTTAAAAAAGAAAGGGAAGCAAGTGGCTGGTAATATCCCAGGCACTCTGACCTCTTTGGAAATATGAATTCATTGGATGAGGAAATGTCAAAAGCCTTTAATTCTTAAAATGCAATGATTTTAGGACTGTTATTAGAAAAGATGAACCTACAAGAAATAGATATGGATGGGGACAGAAATGAATATCTGAAAGTCCAAAGGTTGAAGATAAACTCCAATCTGGATCCATGGTCTAAGGATTTCATCTGCCAATTTTGTGCAACCTGGCCACAGAACCACGCTACTGGCGGGCAAGAATTTTTCTTAAGCAAAGGATGAAGAAGAAAAGAGAGAGGGAAAGAAGGATGCAAAAGAAAACAGGAGAAATGAGGTACAAAGGGCAGAATAAATTAAGAAAAATAAGGAAAAAGAATGGAAGGCAAATTAAAACACACTGATGACAGAAAGGTACAAGAAATTTAAGTTACTGGCTTTAAACTAAACAAACTGGAGTCCAGATAGTCACCAAACATGTAATATTTTTTTTTGCTTTGTCACTCAGACAAGTGTGAGCACAGGTCTAAGGAACAAGACTAGTGGGCATTCTCAGCAAGTTTGTGAAATTGTGATATTAGAATATATTCCATAGACAATAAAATCTGCTTCTTGAGTAGTGGCATTAATGTTTTTCAAACTTTAAATTAACACAACATGACAAATTGCATTTAAATAAATTTGGCTATAACCTTGATCTAGGGGCCTTGGCAGGTACGGGGTACAGCAGGTAGGTAGACCTGGAAAGAGAGAGTAACTCTCCAAAACCAAAGACTGTACAAAGTTGCTGCAGGCAGGCAACCTGAGAATTTCAGATTGCGAGGCACAGAGGATAATTTTGCAAGAAACAGTAGAAATATATTTCTTTTCCATCAAATTATTATATACCCTACAAGATGATGTATACCTGAGAATAGAAAACTACAGTAACAGACAACAAACAGCATCAAACAGAGCAAAGAAAGGACAGAAGGTGAGCCCATGATGAGAAGCAATGTAGTGTGCCAGAGATAGAAAGACCTTGAATTCAAATCCTAGCCCCATCGTTATCTAGGTTTCTGCCTTTTTCAAGTGGCGGGATGTCTCTGACACTTGACTTCCTTCAGGGTAAAATGTGGGTGATAAAGTTCCTGCCTCATGGGAGTGCTGTGACAATTAACTAAGAAAACAACTGCAAAGTACTCAGCACAGAGGCTGGTACTGGTGACAAGTCCATCAGTGGTAAATGCTGTTGTAAAATCTCTAAATCTGACTCCACTGAGCAATGACAGTGAAAGGAGAACAGTGGGACCCACATTCCAATGCAACTCTTCTTCTCTATTAAAGAAAGAAACATAGGCAACATTTGAAAGTGCAAATGAATTCACTGGACTGGAAGTGGCCTTCAAAATGCTCTGATCAATTTTTTCATTTTACTGTTGGGAAAATCAGAGAAGAAAATAAAAAGTCTATTGTGGTTGGATATATATGTACCAAAAAAAAATTTTAATTAAAGAGAGGCTATTTGTCAATTTTTATATGACAGAGGATGAAGGTAGAGTTAGGAAATCACAGTTTATAATTTCATGTATGTAGTAAAAATAATAAAGTTCCTCTGAAAAGACGTCTAGCAGTTAGGCGTAGCTTTTAGTGAACTTGGCCAGTTTGTGCCACCTAAATTCACCCATTCAGAAAGCAATAACACTTAATACAGCTCTTTGAAGTGTCATGGAGTACAGAATAAAACAGATTAAGGATAAACAGTGATTAGAAGGGATGTCCTTCTCCCACATCATAACTAGGACACTCACCTGTCCAAGATCAAGTTAGGAGCAAACAGGAGCTTCCCAGGGTGCTCCATGGAGCGCCAGATAAGACCTATCATCAGGATTTCTAGCCATGCACATTCCAGAAGATGGACCTGATCGTGGAGGGTCAAATCCCCAAACCCTGAAACATAAGAAGAAAAATCCTGCTGAAACGAAAAGTATCCATCACTGGTGAAGTTAATGTGACCAAGGATTTGGACTAGTAGGATCTATTTTCCATTAGATGAAATAAAGTATACCAGAAGCATACTTTACAGGAAAGTCAAGTGACTATTTTTTAAACCTAGCTATATCAACAATTTCAATGTGGTTTTGAGTTTTTAGTGCCTTAGTGTCACATCTCCAGAAATACGCTAACTTATGCAACCCACTTAGGTTTCTGTAAAGTTCTGTACTTTGTATTAAAACTTGAATGGTTTCCACTTAGACATTTCTAATAGCTCTATAGGGATGTTATTATTCATTTGTGTTTAGTTGAAGATATTAAGGTACAAGAAATTTAAGTTACTGGCTTTAAACTAAACATACTGGAGTGCAGATAGTCACCAAACAGGTAATTTTTTTTTTCCGCTTTGTCACTAAGCCATGATCTTTAGTACTAAGCCACAGGCTTTTTAATAACTTGTGAAAGAATGATAATTGAAATAATACATGTAAACACATAATTTAGGAGGATGAGTCAAATGAACAAAGGTGACATAATTACTTCTGAGAAAGGGCAAGAAAATGTGTTCTTGTTTTCTAATGATTGGCCATTAGAATAAAGCTTCTTTCCAGTCACTTAATGGCAGTATTGTGAAGGCCTACTAATGATAATGAGAAAGAGAAGGAAAAAGAAAAGGGGGAAATGATGAGGAATTATTATATTATTGGGCCCTTACTATGTGTTAGAAGCAAAGCTAAGTCCTTCCTGTACCCATTTCTTTTCATCTTTATTAGTACAATAACAAAAGAACCAAGAACTGATGTCCCTATTTTACAGATAAGAAGGCAGACACTCAGAAAATTATGCACATGTTAAGGGCAGAGACAAGAACATAATCTCTAGGACCTGCTCCCTTGACCACAATTAACATCAGTGTCTGAGATTTGTTTAATTATAGGATTTGGACCAAGCAACTATCAAGTCCAACAGTGTAGTGACAAGAAGGTAAATATCCAGAAGTCCTCCCCTCCCTACACCAGCATCTGCAGTCTCCAGTCGTGTTTCTTCCCCTCTCCCCTTATCCTCAACTCTTTGTGCCCTCTTATCTGTGACAATGACTTTTGGAATCACAATTTTTGTTTGTTTTTGTTGCTGTCTTCTTTGTTTTCTTTATTGCTCCATTTTATCAGAAGTCTCTTCTTGTATTCATTAAAAAACCAAAATGAAAGTTCCTTTCCTTAAATAGTAAAATATAAAACATAATATAAAAAACTTAATAGTTCTTCCTTCTTAGGGGTGATAGAGTAAACATGCTTCTCAATTCTTACTTACTTATGCACCACATTTCATGTGATCATTGTCTCTAAATTGGGGATGATTCACACAGAGAAACCTAAGTCAGAGCAGACCTTACACACCTCTGTTGCCATCTTCTCTAACAAACCTCCTCAAATCTGTATCTTAAGCCAGGAAAACACTTCCTCTTTTTTCTATTCCTACTGATGGCAAGCAAACCGAGTTCCTAAGAGTTTCTTATATTTTTTGTCTTCTGCTTTAACTCAGCATAATTAATTTAAGATTTATTCACATTGTTGTATATATAAATACTTGAGCATGTTTCTTGTTGAATGGTAACTCATTATATAGATATATCCAACAAAAAAGTATCACTTTTTCTCCTTTTATTTGACATTTTGGTTGGTCCTGGATTTAGGCTAATACAAAAAAAGTTATGTGAGCAATTTATGAATAAGTTTTTCCATGGATATGTTTTCATTCATTGCTTCTGACTGAATATTTAAGAGCACAGTGGCTTTAAGAAGCTGATAGTTTTATAAAATGATTGTGCCCCAACTACAAACACACTCAACCACCTTATCTTTGATAAAGGAGCCAAGCAGGTTCACTGGAAGAACGACAGTCTCTTTAATAAATGGTGCTGGAAAAACTGGTTTCCATTTGCCAAAAACTAAAGCTAGACCTATGCCTATCACCATGTACTAAATTAAAACCTAAATGGGTCAAAGATCTGAATATTAAAACAGAAACACTAAATCTATTGGAAGACAAATTGGGTAGAAACCTTGAAGACATAGGAGTAGGTAGAGAATTCATGAACAGGACTCAAACCGCACGGGAAATACTTCCCAGAATCAGTAACTGGGACCACTTCTTATAAAAAGTTTCTGTATGTCAAAAGAAATCTCCAGCATAGTGAAAAGAAAACCCACAAACTGGGAAAAGATTTTAGTGAACTCTCTCTCAGACAAGGGACTCTTGTCTAAAACATATACAGAATTTAAAAAACTCAGACCCCCAAAATTCAAAGATCCAATCCAAAAATGAGCATCTGAGATGAATATGCACTTCTCAGATGAAGAAATACAAATGGCAAATAAATACATGAAAAAATGTTCATCATCATTGGTCATTAGAGAAATGCAAATTAAAACCACACTGAGATACCATCTCACTCCTGAAAGAATAGCCAGGATCAAGAAAACCAACAACAACAAATGCTGGAGAGGCTGTGGGGAAAAAGGAACTCTCCTACACTGTTGGTGGGAGTGTAGACTGGTACAACCTTTGTGGAGGTCAGTCTGTAGATTTCTCAAAAAGCTGGGATTGGAAGTCCCATTTATTCCAGCTACTCCACTTCTAGGCATATTCCCAGAAGAACTGAAAGCATCATACCACAGTGATATATGTGCACCTATGTTTATAGCAGCACAATTTATAATCACCAGATCTTGGAAACAACCCAAGTGTCCATCAACTGAGGAATGGATAAAAAAGTTGTGGTATTTCTATACAATGGAATATTACTCTGCTATAAAGAAGGATCACATTGAGATATTTATCAATAAATGGGCACAGCTTGAGACCATACTCATAAGTGAAATAAATCAATCTCGCATGTGTGAATACTGAATAGTTTCCCTAATGTAAGTAATGATTCAAATATATAAAAGTATGTGGTAATCATGATTCCCCATTATGTGGCCTTGAAGCCTTATAAAGTTTTCACTTATTAATTGGAAAGGCTTTATTCTGGGCTTCTTGATATGGAAATATTTGAAGCTATAGTATATGAGTTATATTCAAATATTTCAAGGAAAAAGACAGACACTATGGTAACTACTATTAAGTCAGGTTATTTGGTGGTGAAGCACTAGGTTGCTTAAACAGTCATGCTTTGATCTGTATTGTTATGTTGTTATGTCCTCTTTTATCTCAATCTCTCCCTTATTCATTAAAAAATTATTTAGTTATTTTTTATGGTTTTTTTTAATTAAGGGGAAAAATTTAAAAATTAGCAGGATATATTATAGTAACTTTTTTTGATTTCCTATTAACTTGATTTGAAGTCCTGTAATACTCCCACTATCTTGTTTTGACTGATTAGACTCTGTTCCATTCTGTATGATAGTACCAAGTTTGGGGGTATATGCAACTACTTTGAAGGCAATAAGATTCACTAAGATGCCCATTCTGGTTTGACTATTATCTCCTTTGGAAGTCCTGTAATGTTTACAATGTTTAAGTTATATTGGTCTTGTTCTCTACTGTTTTGTTCAACTTTATAATACCTAATGAGATAGACAATTCTTTTTAAGGAAACAAGAGACATTATGGTAACCATTGTTAATAACCTTGTACTCTGTTTTTACATCATGTGCTATATCTATCCTTGGTTTTGACTGACAGCTTTGTTTTGCCATATTTGACTTTATTCTCTTCCAAAAAAAAGTAATAAGAACTAAGGAGTAATAAAACCCCAAATGTGTAAATTTTGTTGTAAAAAAGAGAGGGGAAAAAAAGTGCTCTAAAGGATACAACTGCAAATGTGTTTAGGGGTGTTAAATAGCTGACCATATTAATGTTTTTGGTTGGATCATTGAACACAACTGTTTGCAGTCTTTATGAATGTTCACTTTGTATGCTTTGATACTGTGACTTGAGCAACTATCTCTAGACAACAGTGTGTGATCTGTTAACTGGTGATTTCTTACTGTTTTTTTTTTTTTTTTTTTTTGTACTTCTGTATTACTTGTATCCTTACACTGCTTTGTTTTGTTTTGTTTTTTCTCTTTTTCCTTTTAAATAAAATTTTAAAAAAATGATTGTGCCACTTTACATAGCCACCATTAATACATGAGAGCACAAGTCTTTCTAAATCCTTGACAGTACTTGATATGTCTTTCATTTTAGACATTCTAAGAGGTACAAAGTCACCATATGGTATTAAGGTTGTAATTTGCATTTTCTTAATGGCTAACAATGTTGAACACCTTTACATGAATTTCCACCATATCACTTTGTCACACCATGTTCAAGTTAATTATGCATGCATCTGTAAGCCCTGCTAGACTGTGTACTCACCAGAGGCACAAAATGCATGATTCTACCAAATCCTTCTTTCAAAGCTCAAATTTATTGCACTTCACTATATCACTCAGACATCCCAGGGTCTATGAGAGCAAAGAAGTTGACTTTTTATAGGAAAGAGTAGATTCCACTCATGTGACTCAGGACTGGCATCAGTAGAAGTGAGAAAGCAGGAGGCTTTGTTCTTAAGAAAAGCCCGAAGACTAAAAGGTAATGATTTTGTTTGAGACCCACCAGGAAGAGCAGGAATAAATATTTCCAAAAGGTGTAGCTGTTATCAGAGAGTACTCTGGGTCAAAGGGATCAGGCTTGCTTTGAGGGAGACACTGCCTGGATCTCTCCCACTGTCTAATAGGCCTAAAAAACTCTGGGAAGCAGAAAATAAAATAAAAGCCCTCAGGGAAGCCTTAATTCTCTAATACTTCATCTTTTTGGATTAAAGTCTCATAACAGTAATGGGAATTTACCCTGTATATTCAACTCATTCAGAAATGTTAACATTCAAATGTGGTGCTTTTCTTCTTAATTTCCTGTTTTGTGTACACAAAAATGTAATAATGAACTTTACCCTCTATTTTTCAGTTAAT